ACGCTATTAAAAATTTCATGTTTTGCATTTAATCTAACTTTAGTGAATATTTTTAATTTTTCTGCAGAAAATGAATTCATCAATTCATCAGTTAATAACAGTTTTAAATGAGGTTTTCTCCGCTAATATGTTGGCAAGTGAAATTTACCTGGAAATTTTTAAGTGTTTATTATCGCTTAAAGTGCTTGTTATCGTCGATTATTGCCCATTGTTTGTATATAACGTGTTTACAAGAAAACGAAATATGTGCTGGGACACATAGAAGAAGTAGAACTTCAACGGACAAGTGGAAAAACGAATGGCAATAAAATTTTCACTAGAAGTTTTACGGGCAAATTTTCAAATTGGACAAATATATTAACAATCTGCCCGTAAAATTTGAGGTAAAAATTTTGTTCCCATTCGTTTTTCTACTTATCCGCTACCAATTGTTTTTCCAATTTTCCGTTACCATTCGTTTTTCCATTTGTTCGTTGAAGTTTCACTTATACTATGTGTCCCGGCACATGTTTCGTTTTCACAGGTTTACTGTAAATTATGATTTGATTTTTACAGAGACCGCAAATAGAGGCAATGATGCCAAGTCACGTGGAGAGCAGAGGTAAGAAAACAACAGCTGAGTACAGCACACGCCGCCGGGACTCTAGCGGACTCTCCGCTCTGCGCATTATATTCATCTATTACTGCCGTTGCCCTCTCTCCGCTCCCTCGACCTTTTTCTCCCTTCGCCGCTGCAGCCACTTGTCACGGCAGAATCGTGAAAAATCGTAATACCCCGTCTACATAGAAGTTTCACTTCAGAAAAACTTTAACTGTTTGGTATGAGAACGCTTCCTTTACAAAAGAACTTTCATTTGTTGGAATTTAAGCAATAGATCCTTCAGGTCCTTCGACTTGCTACTCATCCCTTCCTTAAATTGTCATGACCTAAGCTGGAATTGAGTTAGGTTACATTAGGTTGCAATTCAGTAGGCATTTAATGTTAAAATTTCAACCCATATACTCATCATAAGTATCGTATTTTCCTAGGAAATAATCTTTCATTATTCAAAATTATTATTGTTCCATATTCGTAGCCTAATTTTGCTCTCATTATTTCTAAACTATTTAAACCTAACAGTATATCAAATATATGTAGGTATACATACTTATAGCCGCTACCTTTCGTACTAAATAACCTGAATAACCCTGTGCATATGTCGAGTTTTTTTTTTAATAATTGTTTCGTAATCATAAATATGTAACCGAAAAATATAATAAAAAATAACCAGTAATAATAAAATTTTGGAGAAAATTTAACTTACCTAATATAATGTAATCTGTTCTGACCATATTTGTTCAGAATTATTTTTATGATATATTTCAATGTATTACTGGAGTTTACTAGAAATATTTTTACTTTGATGTTAGATTTGTTAGAGACATTTGCTGTGCCTACTTTTAAACATTTATTACACTCTAGGTACTTCTGTCGAACCTAGCCCACTTTTTAATTGGAGATTCTCTTACGAACGCACCTGAAGCTGATCTACACGAAGTCCCAACAAATAAGTTGTCATTATGGCAGCTTATAACAAAGGTCAAACAACATTTATAGAAAAAACTTGCATAGGGATTATCTCAAGCAATTGCAAGTAAGAAGCAAATGGAATATACCTAATTGTAATAAAATCAAAGTCGGCACCCTGGTTATCATAAAAGAAGACAACAGTCCACCTAGACACTGGCCTCTGAGTCGAATAATAGCAGTTCACCCAGGTGAAGACGAAATTATGCGGGTGGTGGCACCTACAAACGATGTATAAAAAAGTTATGTCTGTTACATTTGCTGTCCCTATTTTTAAACATTTATTACACTCCAGGTACTTTTGCCGGACCCTTCCGGTCAAAATATCTGTCCTCTTTAGGAACAATGTTCATGTTTACTGGAGACAGTTTATTCACCCTCCCTCTCTTCAGGGGGTGCTGAATGTATTTAAGTGAGTCGTTAAGTTGTACAAAAAGATATATCAGCATTATTCTTCTAGACCGAGCGGCATGGCCTAGAGGTCTAGACCATTGCTTAGCATTCGGGAGGACGCCGGTTCGATTCCGAGTCCGTCTGCCTTGGTCCAAGTTTTTCTGTGGTTTCCTTGGATCACTTAGGCAAATGCTGAGGCAGTAATATTCCACAGATAATCTTTCA